CCCAAAACACACACACACTCACACACACAAACACACACACCACCACCACCACCACCACCACCACCCAAAAAAACCACACATACACACACAAAACACCCTTGATCCCTTCCTAGATTCAGAGGAAATTTGCTGGAACTTTTTTACGGCCCCAAACATTCCTAATAGATAAACAGTAGTAGAATAATCACAGAGGCAGTAGTAGCAGTAACTATAGCAGTAATATGATAATGGTAACAGTGGCAAAAGCAGCAGTAGCGATTGTAATAGCAGTAATGGTAATCATCATATCATTGATAGTGTCAATAATACTAAGATAACAATAAAAATACATTTCATGCTATTATTTTTTTTCCTGCATGTTGTCCATTAGCCTGCGCCATGCCATTTCAAAATGTTTGTTGAAACTCAAAGCAATATATTAAAGCTCTTATTACTCATTTAGCAATGTTATTCCTAAAATAGTACTCATTTTATAACCATTAGTTATAACTGACCACATGATTTATAAAGAACTGAGCTCCCTGGAATATGCACACATTAAAGCTGTTAAAAATCATAAAATATGCGCTTGGAAGCATATACATTAAACATATGTGCATTATGCATAAGGAAACAGCTCATGCAACAGTCTTCTGTTATTGCTGGATGTGTAATTCTTGGTGAGGTGTCTTTTTATTTTAAAGAAATGTGTGTTTTTCCCCCCTGCCAAAAATGCAAACCTAATGGCTTTTTCATGCATTCACATCACGGCAATGTACTAACCATTCAAAATGTATGGTACTGAATTTCCATGCAGAGATACTCTGCTTACTAATCACATACAGGGCACATTTAGCATACAGCTCTTAACACACTCCTATCAAGCATCTCTGGACAAGCCTCAGAGCAAACATATATGCAATGCTTCCCGTGTTGAAGATGAGAAGGTGGAAATTCTCATTTGGTCCAGGATAGCTCAAAACTGGGGGGTGGGGGTGGGCTTTGAGAATCTGCAGCGAACAGCTCTCAAGTGGAACATGAAACATGTCCGGTTGGATCAGGTCCAAAGTCCATCATTTCCACTTTATGCCCAGAAGACCATCATCAGACACTTTGCAAGGCACATATCTCTGCAAACAGACCAGAAGCACAAGGTTACTGAATCCTATTCTCAATCTCCCTCTTTTTTAAAAATAATTTCTCTCCCCTACTATGACCAGCCCGAAATTTATTATCCTGATAGAGGGAAGGAACCAAAAAAAACCTCACTCTTTAATTTTTGCCTCATGTCATCACAGCTAAAGCATAACAGTGACATCACAGCCCAAAAAACCTACAACCACCATAACAGAGACGTTTCTTTTCTGGCAGTTTCTGATTTTTAAAAAATAATCAGTTGGTTTTAAAATGATGTCAGCCTTCCTGAGTGGTGGTTCTTGTTATTGTTTTATTAAAGAACATGGGAATAAACATTTTGCAATATATATATACTATTAAAACAACAGAAGGAGAATCACTACCTTTTAACAACCCTTTTTAAATTTAGCATGGTTGGCAACCTCACCGTACCTAATGGTAGAGCTGGCCCTCACGTCTCCCATTTTTCCTTCACGCTGCCTTTCCACCCGCTCCTCTTAAGAGCAACCAATATGGATTAGTTACCCATAACACATTTTAATAGTCCTTTTTCGAGAAATGTAAGAGACGACGTGCAACGGTCGATGCATTGTACGTACATTTATGGGTGGAAGTGGGTCTGCTGAAGAACCGGCCACAGCATTGCTTCAGATTAATGGGGCTCTTCAGGATGCAGGTAGCAGTGTAGTGCCCTCTTGTGGTTTGGCTCTGGGGACAAACCCCCCCAGTTTATCCCTAAGAAATCTGGCCTTTTTGGCCGAAAACCTTTCAATATTTATGTTGGCGACAATGGATCCTCTGGGAGGAGAGGCCCTGACTAAATGCCAGCCCTAATTATTTCCCTTTAATGCTGCCTTAACCATCAGAGGCTAGGATTTTATTATTTTCAATTATTAGGCCAAAAAAAAAATTAATGCTCCAGCAGTAAAACCTCTTCTTCTTGATTGTTAAACTGTTATTGCAGCTTGGAAGATGTTACAAGCTTAGGCGTAAGATCTGGAAAATCCCATCGCCTTCCTTTCTGCCAGGTGACCAGAGGGAGGCTTCAAAGCAAAGATGACAGCTATAGTTTCAAATACAGTAAAGATCATTCTCTTTGCTTTTAAAAGTTCCACCTAGCCCAGGAGCACGGCCAGCTCTTTAAACTAGCTTGCTGACTGCCACTGCAACAGAGGAGGGCTGTGATGAAATAAAATCCGGTGGCAAGAAAGACCATGTGGAAAAAGGCTTGGAGGGATGGTTTTTGACCTCCAGCAACAAAACATCTTGGGATTATCCTAGAGATTTTGGGCAAGTCCATTTACGAACACATAAAGAGCCATCAATGGATGACGCAAAGGACATTAGTTAGATAAAAGAGTCATAAGAGAAGAATGAAGGAGGGCAATACATGTTAAAACCCCAACATTGATCCTTATTCTCAAGCCTGGGCATATGCATTCTTACAATCCTTCCAAGAAGCTCAGATTCAGGCTTTGGCGAATCTCCACAAAGAGTGACCAGAGTCATGGTTACCAAACCTCTCCCTACACAGACATGACATTCCTAAGCTGCCAGTCATCATGACAATCTTGTCGAGAAGCTTCCTCTGAAGACCTTGAGAAATCATTGCAAAAGGGAGGCAGGAGTTAAGCAGGAAACCTTTTAGATTTGCAGGTCCTCATTCCATATGGCTAGTTCATCCAGAGAGAATAGAGGAATAAGCATTACTAACACTCCCCCCCCCAATGTTCCATTAAGAGCCACAAATTACTGGAGAGAGAAAGAAGTAACAAATCCTATTCTATTTGGAAACCAAAGGAAAAGCTTTGGAGACTATTCCAAATCAGTTTAAATGCCAGATTTACAGTTTTTCGTCAATAGAATTGGCTGAGTTAGTTCGGGCAGGAAATTGTTATTTGTTGAATTTCAGCATTCTTAACAATAGGTATTTCTCCAGCACCGTTCCCAATGTCCAGCCCCGATCTGCACCAAACTCACCTGATTGATACCAAAAGCAAAAAAATAAAAATAAAAAATGAGATACCCCTAATGGGGGGAGACAGGAGTTAAAGTGGGAGTCTCTGGACTGTAACCAGACTCCACTTCTGTGGAATGTGCTAATGAATTACAGCAACAGCTAATTGGCCGAAAAGGCGGTCCATCAATAAAGTCTGATGAAAGCAGCTTAGCTTTAGTGCAGCCCTTCTTGAAAGGGGAGTTCCTGCAAAGTATACAGGCTACAAAATGAGATGGTTAAGGTCATCCCTGTGCCTACGTTGCCTTCTAGTTGCCAAATCTTAGCATCTCCATTCTGTGGTGCAGGCAGAAATTCATCGGATTCACAGTAAGGCCGTGGTGCCTGGATAGGAAAGGCAGCTGAGTTGTACAAAACTGTTCATAGATTTATTTCTTAAACCAAGAATCAGGAGCCTATGTATAGAGTGATTTCTAATGAACTGTTGATGTACTGATTTTTTTTAATTGTTGCATGATTTTTATTTTTTTAGTTGCCTATTTTTATTTTATTTGTTCTTCTTGTCAACCGCTTTGAGATGTTACAATATGAAAAGCAATTCAGAAACGCTCTAAAATAAATGGATAGCTGGAAAATAACTTTTCTAGCCTCTACGAAGCCTCTGCTCTTTGGCTATCAGAATTCCACCAATTTTAAAAAAGGCCAAATAAAACAAGTGCTGTGTGTGGGGGGGGGATGTTTCATGTCATCCCTGGCCAAAACCACCCAAAGTCCCCCTATAACATGTTTCTGAAGTGGGGTGTGCTTATGTCATTCTGGGTCTGCTGCACTCATGTTTCCGTCTTATTAGAACCACAGGAAAGGAAGAGGGTGTGGCCAGGGAACCACAACAACGCATCACGACTATATACAGAGAGACTTTCTGCCCAATGGGAAGGAGACAAGGTGGTTCAACTGTCACAGACCGGTCTTCCTTTACCTTCCTGTCGCATAAAAAATAGGAGGGGCGGAAATCTACCTGATGGCTACCCAGAATATGATAGGTGGGTGGGTAGTGCTGGGAATAATTCATCTGTGTTAATTTTATTGGAGGAGACTCTTGAGAGTCCCCTAGACTGCAAGGAGAACAAACCTGTCCATTTTGAAGGAAATCAATCCTGAGTGCTCACTGGAAGGACAGATCCTGAAGCTAAGGTTCCAATACTTTGGCCATCTCTTGAGAAGACTCCCTGGAAAAGACCCTGATGTTCGGAAAATATGAAGGCAAGAGGAGATGGTTGGACAGTGTCATCAAAATCACTGGTTCTTAACCTTGGGTTACTCAGGAATTTTGGACTGCAACTCCCAGAAGCCTTCACCACCAGCTGTCCTGACTGGGGTTTCTGGGAGTTGCAGTTCAAAAGCATCCGAGTAACAAAGGTTAAGAACCACTGATCAAAATGACCAACATGAATATGACCCAACTCTGGGAGGCAGTGGAAGACAGGAGGGCCTGGCATGCTCTGGTCCATGGGGGTCATGAACAGTCGGACACGACTCAATGACTAAACAACAACAACAAATTAATTTTCTAGAGGCATGGCTGTGGTAGCCTCTTGCAGCCAAAATAACAAAGAAAGAAA